AGTTTTTATTCTTGTAGGATTATGAAGCTAAATTGGTTGAAACGTGCCAAACGCTTTTAACGAATCAACTAAATAAACGTTAGATATTCCTCAAGCTTTATTTATTTATTAATCGTATATGTAGCGATAGTATATTTTTATTTCTTTAAATAAAATATTTCAGTTGAATAACAATTGGTGAATTGTGCACTTAATTATACTCGACAACTCTCAAATTACTAAATCAGTATTCTAGAGTACAGAATAAATTAAGTTTTCAATGATGTTGAGTTATTTAGGTACACAATAATTTTTAAACACTCATTTTCCACTTTAACAATTTAATTTCAGTTTTCTAAAGAATATGTTTGTTAAATTTTTGAATAAATGTATTGGAAAAAATGGATTAAAGTTTCTTGCACTCCCTTTATCAATTCTCCTGGTTTTCACCACTCATGAACAGGTTTTAAATTGTTGCTAAGCGACTGAAACATATACAAACCGCTTCACGCGGATCCATAACATAGAAATTCATGTTGTTTTCAGTGAAACAACGTATCTGTAAATTTAAATAATTAAAAAATCATTTTTTGTGAATATTTTTACAATAAGTGAATGTTAAGTGTTATTAAAAATCATCATGTTGCTCAAATATTTGGGAAATGTCATGTTACCTTATGTAAGTACATATTCTATTTTTGTAAATCATTTTCAAAATATTTCAACTTCTCATAATTGATACAATATTTTAATTTGTCCATATATGTTTTACAAAATGTAAAATAGGAGTATGAAAATCGAGTGGTGAGTATAGTGTGGTCACCAAATAATTTAAAACTGGCTGTTGCTTCCTCTGACCGTTCAATATACCTTTTTGATGAGAATTGTGTGAAAAGGGATAGGTTTTCTACCAAACCTATTGATTCAAAGGTATATTTAAAAATTTTTTTTTAATTTCTCAAAGTTATATAAATTTTGAAGAATTATCAATTTTTTCAGTTTGGTAAAAAAAGCTATGTAATCAAGAGCATTGCCTTTTCTCCAGACTCAATAAAGATAGCAGTAGGTCAATCTGACTGTATAATTTACGTTTACAAAATTGGAGAACAATGGTATATTGTTGAAGACCCAAAACTTAAATTAAAAATTTCTCCAGATATTCTCAATTTTGTATTATTTTTACAGGGGAGAAAAAAAAGTGATTTGCAATAAGTTTCGTCAAAGTTCTGCAGTCACTTGTATAATTTGGCTTGTAGAGGGGCCAATTATAGTTGGTTTGGTAGATGGGAAAGTACGTGCAGCATTGGTGAAGTCTCAAAAGGCACAGACTCTCTATACAGCTGATTCAACAACAATTGCATTGACTTCAAAGTAACCTAACCTTATTTCTTCCTACATTTTTTTCATAAAAATAAAAATTCTAAGTATTCACTCAAATTTTAGTATTCGAGGAACTTGCTTTCTTTCAAGTCATGCTGATGGCAGCATCATAAAATATAATTTAACTGATGATGGAAGTCATGAACCTTCTGGACGTATTTGCACTCATACTGTACCAGCTTACGCATTAGCTTGGACTCAGTCTCATATCCTAGCAGCAGGATGTGACAAACGTGTAACATTTTACGATTCACGTGGAAAATTGGTGAAAAATTTTGATTACAGCCGTGAAAATGAAAAGGAGATTGCCGTGGCTTGCTGTAGCCCCAGTGGACAGAGCGTTGCGATTGGATCTTGGGATAAAATAAGGATTCTGGACTGGTGTCCTCGACGTTCTATCTGGGAGGAGGCTAACACAAGATCTCTGCCCAATTTTTACACTGTCACTGCAATATCTTGGCGTCGTGATGGCTCTAGGTTAGTCTCCACACCAATCCCAAAGTTCTAATGTTATTTTCCAAGTTTTGAGCACTTTTCTTCAAGAGTCTTTCTTAAGTAGAATTGTAAAATTAAGACTTAGCGAAAAAAGTTGAGGACTCCTCCAAGATATATGTAAAGTAAGGTTAGCTTTCCCTTCTACAAATAAAAATTTATTTCATTATCTGGTATACAATTTTCTTCTTTCAGACTGCTTGTAGGCAACCTCTGTGGAGCAGTAGAACAATTTGAAACAGTGTTGAAAAGAACAGTAATTAGAGGTAGCCATGAGGTGGCCTATGTTGGTCCCAGTCAGGTGGTCATTCGTCCACTACAAGAAGGCAATCGACCAGTTATTATTAGATCTCAAACAGGTTATGAAATAGAGGATGTCAAGGTCCTGGGAAGAGCTGATAATAATGTAGTAGCTCGTACAGCTAATACTTTATTACTTGCCGACATTGAACTAAACCTTATCAGTGAAATTCCTTGGGAAAACAAAAGCAACAATGAAAAGTTCTTCTTTGAATACCCAAGAGTATGCTTGATCTTCTGTTCTGGAGAATTGACTATTGTTGAGTATGGAAATAATGAAGCTTTGGGCTCTGTGAGGACAGAGGCAGTCAATCCTCATGTAGTCAGTGTGAGAATCAACGAAAGACAAGCACCTGGTGCACCAGATAATAAGAGACTAGCTTATCTATTAGATCCTAGAACTGTTCGGATCATGGATCTTGTGACAGGACTCGCTGTTGCAATGCTTACTCATGATGTGCGTGTGGATTGGCTGGAATTGAGTGAAACAGGCCACAGATTATTATCAAGAGATAAAAGAGCCAGGTAAAAAGTTCTTTCCTTGAACCTTTTCACTGAATAAAGTAATTTTCATGATTTATATAGGTTATGGTTGAGTGATGAACTTGGTGGAAGAATTTTATTGCTAACTGGAGTCAGTTTTGTGTCTTGGGTGCTAGGTAGTGATGTAGTAGTGGCTCAAACTGGGCAAACCTTGGCAGTTTGGTACAACGTTGATGCTCCTGAGGTAGCTACTCTAATTCCTGTTCGTGGAGATGCTGTAGACATCATCAGAGAAGATGGTAGAACTTCTGTCACAGTGGAGGAGCTTGGTGGCAAAGTGGCTTACTTGCTAGATGAACCACTGATAGAATTTGGTACAGCACTACATGACAATGATTTTGGTAGAGCTCTGTTGTTCCTGGAAGAGCTGGCAGACAGACCTCAAGCAGAAGCCATGTGGGAGAATGTAGCAAGAAATGCAATGGCTGCTAGACAGTTACTAGTGGCTGCTAGGTGCTATGCAGCTCTTGGAGACGTAGCCTGTTCCAGGTTATTTTACATCTATTTTTTAATAAATTACTGCTCCACCCTTTTAGAAAAATATAGTATTAGCCTGTTGTCTCTTTAGGTTTCTAAAGAACATAGTAGAGATTGGAGAAAAGTACACTGCAGAGACTGGAAATGATCCACTTTCAAGTCCTGATTGTTGGGCAAAACTTGCAATCTTAAATGGAGAGTTAAAAACTGCAGAAGCAATATACTTTGAACAGAATGAATTAAGCCAGGCTTTAGATATGTATCAGAAATATTGGCACTGGGAGGATGCATTGATCTTGGCACAAAATAGAGGTTGGCCAGGTCTACAGGAGCTCAGAGACAGACACCTGACTTGGTTACTTGAAAGTGGTCAAACAGCCAGAGCTGCTGCTATTCTGGAATCTACTAATCCTCGACGAGCAGTCAAACTGTACCTGGATGCTCGTCGACCTGGAAGAGCTGCACGACTTGTCTTGGCTAACGATGAATTATTGGAAGACAAATCAATTGTTAATCAAATTGTGAGAGTTCTAAAGGCAACAGACTTAATGGAATTGGCTGGAGAATTACTAGAGAAGATTTCAGAGCCTCTCGAAGCTATTAAATGCTACTCCCAGGCTGGTGTGTTTGCAAGAGCATTAGAACTGGCTAGAAAAGTCGATCCAACTTCTGTGGTTGATCTTGAGCGAAACTGGGGCAAGCACTTGGTCTCTGCTGGTCATTATGATGCAGCTATTAATCATTTTATTGAAGCAGGAGAGACTGCTCTGGCTCTGGATGCTGCTATTAGTGCTCGACAATGGAGAAAAGGCCTGCAGATCATACAGGCAAGTGTTTCTCAAATTTTTCATCATTTTTCAATTACTAATCTTAACAAAAATCTTCATATAGGTGATTGAGGATGACGATCCCTCAATCAGAAAGCAGTGTGAGAAACTGGCTGAGTATTTCGCCTCAATAGATGAAAAGAACCTAGCAGAAAAGCTCTTTCTTCGTGCTGGAGATCCCAGACGAGCCGTAGATGTCCATATTCAAAATAGCAATTGGAGTCGTGCTCATGAAGTAGCTCAGGAGTATATGACTCCAGAGGAAGCGAATGAAGTTCTGACCAAGCATGCTACTTTTCTCTGCAAAACAGGAGATCTCAAACATGCTGAGGAATTATATCTTGCCATTCATGAACACGATTCGGTCATAGCAATGTACCGAAAGGCTGGTCGTCGCGCAGACATGGTTAGATTGGTGGGAAAATACAGGCCAGAGCTTCTGAAGACAACTCATGCACACTTGGCCAGGGAATTGGATGCTTCAGGGAAGCCTAGAGAAGCTGAGGAGCACTATCTTGCTGCTGATGACTGGAAGGGAGCTGTGACTGCTTACAGATCAGCCAATATGTGGGAGGATGCTCTTCGTGTGGCAAAACACAATGCTGGAGACAATGCAGCCCAACAGGTCTCAGTAATCAGATATTAATATTTTCTTCAGTATCAATTGAAAGCTCATATTTAAATTTCTTCATCAGGTTGCTCTTGTGTGGGCACGTACACTGGCTCCAGAATTAGCAGCAAGGCTACTGATGCGACTGAAGTACTTGGATGATTGCCTTCAACTGGCTTGTGAAGCTGGATTATTTGAATGGGCCTTGGAGATAGCCAAGTACAGAGGCACTGATCAAAAGAAAGAGGTACATTACAGATACGCCATGGCACTGGAGGATGCAGGTCGTTTCTCTGATGCTGAGAAAGAGTTCATTAAAGCAGACAGAACGATGGAAGCCGTCCAGATGTACATACACACTCGTGATTGGGAGGCTGCTGAGGATGTGGCCCAATCGATCAACCAAGATGCTGTTGCTCAAGTCCTCATTGCTAGAGCCAGCGAGGCTGCTGAAGCACAGAATTATTCCTTGGCAGAAACTTTGCTACTAAGAGCACATAAACCTGAAATGATCATTGAACACTATAAAGTAATGATTTTGTAATTACAGAACTGTAATATTGTTCAGCATTTTGAAACAAAATGATTTTGATTTTTTAGAAAGCTGGGATGTGGTCTGAGGCGTTGCGTGTCTGCAGAGAGTACTTACCAAGTGAAGAAGCCACTCTCAGGCGCGAACTTGGTCAAAAGAGCGCATCCCTTGCTGGTGCAAACGCTTTTGAAGAAGCCAAGAAGTGGTTGGATGTTGGAGAAGTGAGGGCTGCACTAGATATCTTAATTTTGGACCCTCAAGCGCCAAGATCGTCTCTTATCAAGGCAGCTGATATTCTGCTTCACCAGGCTGACCCAGAAATTGCTATTCAAGTTGGTGGAGATCTTGGTACAAGGTTATTTGCCATTGAAGAACATGCTGTTGCTGCACAGGTTGTTTTCTTCAAATCCATTTGATATTTTTCTTCATATTCTATATTCATTTTTTCTTCTTCTGTCTCTCCCAGGTATTCCTACAGGCAGATAGATTGAAAGATGCCATTGATGTATTAGCATCAGTGGGAGAATGGGAAAAAGCTAAACGTATTGTGAATGAATTAGCACCAGATATAGAGCCTTATCTTGAAGAAAAGTATAAAGAAGCAATGCTAAGAGATGGACAAATAGATAGACTTGTGGAGATAGATGCAGATGCTGGTCTTGAAATACTAGCCAGTAAAGGCCAATGGAATCAAGTATTTGAAACTGCAAGTAATCAGAGCACTCAGACTTTGCATAAGTATGTAGCACAAAGAGCAGTGCAGCTTCTGAAGGGAAATTCACCACTGGAAGTTTTGCAGTTGTATATTAAATATGGTGCACCTCCCATTACACAGAACTTTAATCTCTACTTGCAATTGTCTGAAAGTATTTTGAACTCAGAGGTATGAATAATAATGAATAATAAATCATTTTTTAATTAATTAACATATTTAAAATAACACTTTTTTTTTTATTAGGCATATTATGAATATAAATACTTAGCTCTTCTAAGAACTGTACTCTTGGATCTTTGGAACAGCTTGAAGTCAACTGATGCTGGTCTGAAGTCAAAATTTGAAAGACTGCTGGAAGCTACACACTATTCAGCAGTAAAGTCTGGATGTCGTGATTTTCCTGTGCTCTCTGGACTGGTTCTAAAAGCTTCAATAACTCTATTGAGATACACTGACCTCCTCTTGGCTGATAGAGCTTATTATGAAGCTGGAAATGAAGCACGTACAGCTGGATTGAGCAACGAGGCTTTCATTTTCTTGAATCATTTTCTGGATTTGGAGGAGTGCATTGAGGAAGGTGATAGCACTGTGTTGGATGTCGATGACTTAACTGTGACAGACTTCCCAGTAGAAGTTCCTTTACCAGAAACACTGAGTTTGTCAGCTGAACAGAGGGAAGAAGCTCGTGAATGGGTGCTTGCAGTGTCTATGGATCATAAAATAGAACAAGTGCTTCCTACAGATCACAGAGGAGTCTATGTAGGATCTTTGAGTTCTCCATCTACTGGTTCTGGAGCACTTCAAGGTTGCATCGTGACCGGTTACCCTGTTCGAGGTCCAATAATTAGATTTGCAGAGGTATTTTGCTAATAAGTTCTTATATTCTTAATTCTGTAACTTAATTTAAAACTACTAATTGCTTTCTGTTAAGGGTAAGCATGTGGTAGATCGTGATGACTGGACTAAATTGATCAATACAGCACGTCAAGCTCCTCAAGACTCAGTTCTTAATGATATTCTAGCTTTCATTCAAGAGTGGTGTGGATCAATCCCCAGTTATTCCTTCTGAATACATTTTTTATAATTTTAGATGTCAGGTAAAAATATGAATTATTGTGTAAATATAAATATGTTGAAGTTACAAGTTACTACAACTACATTTATATATATATATATATACATACATACAACTACAATTATCAATGAGAAGGTAAGATAAGAACAAGAAGGTTTCCTTGTTTCTCTAGAATTTATTTAAATAAGGCTGCATTATGTAAATAATTAATTTAACTTAAACATAAATAGTTGTTCTATGCAATGTGAATATACATGCAACATGTGTCCATGGGATTTCTCATGTCTGTAATCTTAATTAAACTGACTCTATGTATAACAATCGAAACCTTAGCGAGTTATCAAGATAACTATCACTCGTTGTCTGAACACCTATCCTCGATGGATATTTATATTTATATGACTACTCGGTGACTATGCGCATTGTTGCATTTATACACAGACTATATATCTTGAAAACAGTAGTACAAGCTAGAAATGAGAAACTTTGCAATATTAAATATATGTATGTATATGCGTGTATAATAAATTGCAGGTGAGTCCTTTAAACTGTTTTTCTCCTACTATGTATTTCAATTTTCTTTGATTCTCAGTAATCCCCTATTCTTTTAAGTTTGTTTCAACGTAAACAAACGGCATACATAAAAGAGAAATCACAAACAAATATTTGCACAAGACATGTTACGTGTAAAAAAGGAATAGTGAAAAATTGATGCATTTAAATTTAAATACGGGCGTGTTCACTCTCATAATTTCTAATGTGATATCAAGACTTAACGCGACTGTCCTTAATTTTGATTATAAGACATTTAGAAAAATAAGGACATGTATCTTTGAAAGAATAATATCACTCGCCTAAAGTTGCTTACTGTTTTTATTTTTTATTAAGTATCTACCATTTCTTGCTTATACCATCATTTTCTAAGTATTATTTTTTTGCTTGTTTTAAATATACAGTAAGTGTCTTGAAAAATGTACTGCAGGTCAGATTGACAAGTTAAAAATAGGACGACCCTTTAAGGATCCTACTTGGTTATCGATCGTCAAGTCTTTAACTTATTTAGGAATTACAAAGTTTGCTAATCAATTCTATAAAAATATCGAAGATCGTCTTATTTTTTACTCATCAATCTCTTCTATCTGTGATACACAGTATACTTCAAGAGACACCTTGTATGCGTTTATAATAATCGAATATACAAAACATTTGATAAATAGCGCATTTCCTGGTAATGAGGAAAAACTTATTCTTTTTTTTTATCTCGTCAGACACACCGAGCATGATAGTGCATACTATGTATGCTCATAAGATTCACAAATACCATATAATATTTACATAAATTCATTTTTTCTGTCAGATGTCTGTCAATCACCTTTTACCCTGTCTTATTAAATAATAATAATTTATTTGCAATTGGGAATGTTTTGTTCCAATTTTCTGTCATAACAACACAATTAAAATTCAGTTCAATGTGTCTAAAGTAATTAAATTCAGATTTAAATATAGATAATTACATTTGATGAAACAGAAAACTCTACGTTCAATTTTGGAGATTAGGGGCTCATTCTTCTCCTAATGTTGCTCTTCTACTGTGTCCAGAAAATACCCTATTTATTAAATACCCTGCACGTGCACACACACACGCACACATCGACTGAAGTATATCGACTCTTCCCTCGAAATTTCCTCTTCTTTATAAAAATGAAGAACATGTTAAATACAAAGGAGGTTCGGAACATATACCATACATACATATTATGTTTTTCCCTAGTATTTCGTTAAAACGTGTTTTCACTTTGTTTTACGTCTTCACGTGTGTCGTATGTTCTTCTCTTAAATATCGAACAAGTTCCGTATTTAACATTTTTTTCTTTAACTCTCGTCCAAGAGAAAATATCTCAAATGAACAGTTTCTTTTTTCATTATACATACAGAGGAGATTCTTACAAACTGAATAAATTACTAAAATCTGAATTTAAACAAATTTTTGAACAGTTAATTTTTAGTTTCTATCATTTTTAAAGTAATTTTTTCTACAGTATGGTTTCTACCATTGTAAAGTAAAAGTTAAAAGTGAACTTGTCCAGGAACATTTACACACCATAACGAAAAAAGTACTCAGAGCCTAACCTCAATCATACATGATTCTCTATCTTCATCTAGGAAAGAGCTACTACCAATCAAAAGTATAAGGATCTCTCCCTGTACCTTCCAGATCAACCTAAAAGCTGTATGACCTCATTCTTCACAGTGACTAATTACAGCAACTACTGCTGAGTGATCCTGAACACAGGGCCAATCCTCAAGAAGAATCTCCGGAGCACGGACCGTAATTCCGGTTTGAGATCAAAGCACATAACTTCACAAAGCAGTGGGTAACAGCTGGACGCGTGTACCGCGAATCGATTATCGCTCATCTTCAGGATCCTGGCGAGTAATAACAGCAAGATCGGTGTCCAGGCATCCCTATGAGCCTCATTGGAAAGCGCAAGAAAGTATTCCAGTGCTTCACAGGCGACTTCCACAAGCCTGGATTCCACTTTGCTCCAATCAGCCCTGTGAGCTTCGTCACTATACATCTTAAATAGAATTCTCAGTGCACAGGCCAAGGACTGAGTCTCCTGCTTGAGTAGATTTGGTTTCACATTGCCTCTGAAGCCAGCCTTCCACAGTACATTGCGTTGTTCATGGTTAGAATTAAAGCTCTTAGCAAATCGATGAGATTTTAATAAACATTCAACCAATTGTAACAAGTGTGTAGTCGTAAGGGCACAATACATGCCTTGTTCCTCCTTCTGTTGGTCTGCACCAGCTCTAACACCCAGCTCAGAGGACTTCCCATTGAACATGTCTGCCTGTGCTAGTGCTAGGTTCTCCTGATCCTCCTTTCTTGATGTGGCTGGGTAGAACACTATGTTGTCTATTGTCTGAATCAATTCCAGCTGCACAACACACTTGATTAACAACGCAGAAAAGATTTTATTCTTTATAGACTCCCCATTAGTTAGACTCTGGGAGCTGTTGCTCCTCTTCAGGATGCCCATATGACTATCTGCTTCTCCTGTGATTACATCCAGATCAGACTCCTTGTTGGGAGACTGGGGCTTCCATGTAAGCAATGCAGATGGTAAGGTGCTTTCAAAGATGTCCAGAACGCAACCACAAGTCTTCTCCCAGGTCTGCTCGTCGAATTTGATACCATTACTGATCACTAAGTTCTCTAGACAGTTGGTTCCAGAACGTGCCAGCTGCTCATTGTCCTGCTGCACGCACCAGAGCAACTGGGAGTATAGCTGTTCTAATAGTAGGGGGCCTAAGGTGTCATAGAACTGGGAGAACACGTCCACGATGGCGTACAAGGCGTGGTTACATGTTGTCGTCATCCATTCTGCTTTCTGATGTATAATAATAAGAATTAGTGTATTGACTATGACTAATATTGGTTATTTAAGTGAACGAATCTTTTGATTACCTCTGTATGCTGTTCAGGAAGCTTCATGTTATCAAAAATCCTAAAGAGGACTTGGAAGAGGTCCTTCCACCAATGGGGTTTGAAAGAAGCTCCATGAGTTTTCACAACATCAAAGAGAACAGTCAGTGCACGTGTTCTGACATCCAACTTACATCTGCTCACTATGCATGATAACTCGAATAACAGTGGGAACCATCCCCTAACCTAAATGATAAAAATCATTAATTCGTGAACTTTTTATGATGTGAAATTAAAGTGCATAATCATTACCCAAGCTCTGTCTTCCTCAGACACCATTCCACTATCATCCATCATGCCTTCTGCAAAGAGACTTGGATTGGCGTCGATGTACGAAGCGCAAGAGCGAATCAATCGTATGGCCTCCATGCTTGTCTCTGGGAAGGAAGCATTGCAAGCAAATTCGCTGAGGCACTTTACGGCGTCTTGGAAGGAATCAACCATGATGCTGAAGTCTTCAGCGTATAACTCATCTGTAGAAATACATCAAATTAAACAGTCCTTTTATAATTAAGATTCTGAAACACTCACTTATAATTTTTCCAGTCATAGAAAATGCCAGTTCAACTACAGCCTCATCTCTATCGCTGGCAGCATGATGAAAAACGCTGAATATATTTTTCCATCCTGATCTAATATTGGGAGCTTGTGAGTGCACAATTTGTGCTACACAGCGGACAACCATATCCCTAATCACTGGTGATCTATTCTTTTTCATAATATGTTCGAACGGCCTAAGGAAATCCTTTTGGAATCGGAAATTAGCGAACTCGCCCTTCTCGATGAACTTCGTAGCAAGTTGTCTCAAAGAATCAACCGCGAAGAAGGCGATATCTTGACGGGGGCTGCAGCCGACCCTGTCGAAGTGATCCCCTATGACTTGCCAGATCCTGGACCACTGAAGCCTGATACGTCCCATGTTATAGTAAGAGATTTCTACAATCTTAGTCAAAGAAAACATCCTTGGCTGCGTTGGATGGGACAATTCTTCCAGGGATACTTGACATAGAGCTTTAACAAACTCTACAATGGCATCTCCATCCAATCTGGTGGAGCCAGTAAATATTCTGTCGACAGCTACAACTACACTCTGGGAACTTGTCTCTCCTATGGATTCCTTTACACTTGCTATAATTTGAAAAAATAAAATATATTTATTTCCTTATATAATCAATAAATTAATAGAAAAGAACACTTACGATCCAATGAGCTGAGATTTAAATTATTATTCTGATGAGACATATTGTGAGTTAGGTTGAAGTTCACCAATGGTGAAGGGAAATGAGGTTTTGAAGGTGGACCCAGAAGCTGTGGCCTAACTCCAGTGCCAATCAGCTGTGCAAGCTCAAGTTGAGAGATACACTTCACTACATCTAACCAAGAGCTGCCAAGGTAGTTGCCATCAGTATGAGCAACAGTGATCAAAGTTTTAATTGTATCAATATTCTTTGCTTTCATCTCAGTGATTGGTGAATTTGCAGTCAATAAAGTGAACCGTGCCAATGCTTGCACATACGCGTCCCGTTCTAGCTACAATTAAAAGAGAAAAATACATTTATATCAGGCACAAGTTGATGAATAGAACTGTGAGGAGATAATGAACTTGGAAATATATTTGCATAGTGGCATGGAATTCCGCTGACATCGCAGGAACACTTACCGTCATGTGAAATATGCAAGCGATGCGTATTGCACATCTAATACCGTCCAAACAAAGTGAGGCGATTTCAGGATCGTCACAGTCTTGAAGACCAACGCTGAACGCGGCCAAAAATGGTGTCCACGCGATTTTAAACATTGGTCGAACGTGCTCCAAATGTTTTGCCGTGGTAAAAGGTGCTTGAACGTGACTGACAGACTCCATTAAATTCTTGGCTGCTGTTGAGATTACTTCCATTTCCATGTTCCATAAGAGGCGTCGCTTCTTTTCACTGGATATCACTATACATCAAATTAGAATAATATATAACTATAAAAAATGTTATATCTTTTTATTTTTATTTTCACTTTACCTTGTTTTCCAGGTCGATTGGGGTTAGATTTCATTTTAATCTCATTTCCCGCTATTTCGTCGTAAATTTTCGATAAGTACTCTTCAGGCAGATCCTCATTGTCACTGATGCGTCGATTTAGCTTTATGTATTGTTCCTTCGTCATTTTGTTTTTCACTTGAGGTGAATGGAGATCGGTGGTTAACATAATAATCGAGAAGCCCAGCACGTAAGCAGTATCTGCGCTTGTGAATAATCCATTGCTGGAAATATTTAAAAGAAAATTATTAATTGGTGTCAAAAGTTATTCTTATTAATTCTATGTTATTGGAGGAGTACTTACTTTGGATTACATTCACAGTATCGGCTAGCGAACTTCTCCATCAACCTATCAATCTTCTGTGCTTCACCGGGCAATCTGAAGCCCTCGAGAAAATATCTGAGGGCTGTAACTAAATCGCGATCGGCAAAATTCATTTGATCAATATAGCTATACATCACTTGATTATGATTATGATCGCCAAGAAAGTCACCAATCGCTGTTTTATCGAGTCGTTCGTCCATATGAAGCCAACGAGCAACATCTTCGGACGAATTGCCTAGAAGACCTTGTTCTTGAAGGTACTGTACTCCCTTGCTTGGCTTTCGATTAAAACTAGAGGTAAAAATACCAATTTAATTAATAGAGCATATACATTTTTGTTTTCTAAATATCATTAGAGCCATTTCAAAATATCAAGCAGTCTGTGATAAATGGAAATACTTGCTTGTACTTCAAATGCCAGAATGAGTCAAAGAAACTGAAGACAAAAAAAGAAAATCATGAATTGCAATGCATACATGTCTATTCCAGTCTCCCATACTTCCTTCTGCTGTTTCTGCACTTCGTATTGCTCCGGCGAGTCAGGGATCTCTTTGTTGCCTACTAGACTGGAGTTCGCAGAGGATAGACTGCCTGCACTTCCGTAACGAGGCAGTGGAGGCTCCACTGGAGGATCAGGAGGCTCCGATGGGAGTTGCTGATCAGCCGGAACGCTGGGGTTCACGTACAAATCTCTACTCCATTCAACCATGCATTTTAAGATTGATACTAAGCATTCGAGGCCTCTGATACGCATTGATTTCTCTTGATTAGGGGAGGCGCCTAATTCTAGTGCTTGTCTACCCTGTGCAATTTTCGATAAATCATTCACAAGCCTGTAAAGAAGAAAGGGAATGTAGAATTTAATTAACTTAATTATTTTTATGAACAAGTATTAGTTCCTTACCTTTCGAACAAATTTGCAGCTGATAAATCGCAATCATAGTTCACGTATATGTCCACAACACTCTGTGCGTCCGCACAAATGCGAGTTAAAGCGTGAATCACCATCCACTTGTGCTCAAAGGAGCTGCTGGAGGTCTCGAGGATGTTCATAAAGATCTCCTTGAAGAATACCTCTATCTGCATTTTTAAATGTACTTTGAACCGAGCTAGCAATGCGAGGAACAACGCCAATGACAGTTCAAACACCTCAGGAACAGAAGAAACACCGTTTTTAGATAGAGCTACGCAGAGGTACTGTTTTATGGCTATCACAAACATCTCATTGGAACGCAACACTGGTCCTGCATTTTGCAATATTCCCAGAAGTAATTGTAGTGAAAGAATCTTGGACCTGAGTTGGTGGGACCTAAAATTTACATTTTATTAAAATATATTTTAATAAGAACAGCATTTCAATGTTTTATATAGTTACTGTAATATTATACACAATCATACTTGGGATCTGGAGTACCATCTGGAAGTGGTTTCATGGAGAGTTTGCAAAGTGCTCTAAATACCAAGAAAGCATCCTTCTGTAGCACATGAGTGAATTTTGCCCTAACCATGTTATCACTCTCCGCGACAGCTTCGTCTGAATTCTCATCTATAGGCACTTGATCCAAACTAGCTTCTTCTGAAATCACTGTGGTTACATTTGTGGAGTCCTCAGGAACAACAGAGTTCACCATGTCCTCCAAGATTCCTCTAACTATCAACTGGGGTTCTTGACTGCTCTCTGTTGATGGTTCTTCGTGGTTCACTGCTTCGGCTTCAAGTTCACCACCAGAAGTACAGTTGGTGGAATTCACGTTGGTCGTTTCTGATTGTTCTACCTCAGTTCTCACATTTTCTTCTTCCTGACACGACAGAGGAGCCGAAAGTTTTCTCAACTTCATATAATGTGATATAGGAAATACATTTTATTATGAATATGAATCGATTTTCAGGGAAATTTTGTCTGGTGAAAATTATGATATGATTATTTCTACAGTGGTTAACTTTTCAACTTACTGCTTGTGTTTCCATGCGTGCAAAAATAACGTTAATCATCTGTGTAAGAGTCGCTCGAGCTGTAGTTTGATTAACCAGGTTCCTGGAGGCCAAGTAGACACTATACACTGTGCGTATGGTGAGCAACACAGTACCTTCATGAACTTCCACATGTTGACTGGTCATTACTGTGAGAAGTGCTTTAATAATCTGCAACTGAACCCCCTCATCTGTTTGTGGTCCCATGAAACATCCACATATTGTTTCAACAATCCGCACAATTAGTAGTTTATTTGGTTCTGTAGAATCAGGTACATTTCCAGTTAGATGTCCATATGCAATTAACTTCTGTAAACAATCCAGAGCAGTGACCACAATCCTTGGGGACTTGCTCTGGCAGGCCAGTTCAAATGGTAGGAAATATTTTTCTGCAGAGATGACATATGAATCACTTCGTGGCTGCGGCAAAGCAGTTGAGACCTGAGTACCTGACCCTTCTTTGATCTCATTCCGCAAGTTATCTAAAAGTAAAACAATTTTTGCTAGTAAAAATTGAAGCAATAAATCCACAATAAATTTCTTTTATAATTTTTCAAATAATAACAGAAAATTACTTTTATTTTGTACCTACTAGAGCCAGAAAATAAAATAACTTTATGTCATAATACATAATTAAAAATAGACTAGAATGCCAGATGACATATATATGGGTTACTATATTCATATGGATATCTATATTCAATATGTTACAACACACATAAAACAACTATTAAAGTTTAAGAATTAAATAATACTAAATATGTTTATGCCAATGAAACATTTATACATCATTCTATAATGTAACTATCATTATTGAAATATGAATGTCTACAACACAACACTTACTAGAAATTTGATATAATGCAATATATTAAAGCATCAAATTAATTTAATTTATATCTCTCTGTGAAGACTGAGAAATGCTATTCTATCAATCAATTTTTATTATCTCAAAAAGCTAAAGCTCACATATAAATCAACCATCAATTACAACATATATACAAAAGCACATTACAATGTTTTGTAACTAAAAAACATACAAATATTAATTACAACACATATACAAAAGCATATTGCAATGTTTTACAACTGAAAGACATACAATCATTCATGATATAAAATATTATAAAGAATGCTTAATATTAGTACTACAAATTCAAATAATTAATCTGAATTGAACATAGCATCAAAACTTCCATCTCATTGATACAATGTGCAATCAACTTCTTTATTCACATATATTATATTATCTCGTAATATTACCAAATGCACAACAAATATATTCTTTACCGAGTGCAGTCTCACAGGACTTTCTGAGTTGAGAGAGGTGCGACCGTTTGACATCCCGGTCAGCCAGGATCTTTTCCAAAGCTCTGATGATGAACATCTCTTTGGAGTTATCTCGCATCGTCGCCGGGCCGTGCTGGTTCCTCTGCTAGGCTGGCACGGGAGCACACGCGACTCGACTCCAGCCTCGCATCTTTACCACCGTGACTCGTGCACCGGTTCCTCGTGCATTGCCTTGCACCACCTCCTGGAGGCAGAGGTTGTCCACGGAGACAACTGGCAGCTTCTGCGGCACGTCAACGAAACGCGGATCGATCAGGAGCTTCGAAAACCACGGACGGACACGACGATCGTATCTTCACCAAGTTTCGTTATACAAACGTGTCTCAGACCATTTTTCATAAAATCATTTAAAACGATGACGAAACTCCGAAAATGACAGCAAGCTTTCGAAACAGCGAAGGAACCACAGAGGACAGACTGAAACGACGAAGGAGGGCCATGTGGCGCCCTCGAGAACCTAGTAATTTGGCGTGGTGAATCTAGGGATCCTTAGACCAGCGACGTGTCTCAGCGGGGTTATAAAATTCAAAGATTTCCCTCCACTTTATATTGTTTATTAAAGCATAAAAATAATAATTTACGTAAAATGGTTTAAACATAGGTAATTTAAAGGAAGAGAAAATTTCATAAGGACCACCTTCTCTAGACACTATTGTATTACGTAATAGCGGGAAAATGAAATCACTGCAATACATTTTATAATTGTTATTGTTCCTATCTTTGTTATCTACGTTTAATCATCTTTATACTATAAAGATATATGCGATTTTATAAAAACGTAAGTCTAGTTGTAATCTTTTTCCAAAATTCTAAGAAATTTGAAATGACTAAAAAATATTTATTTTGTCCCGCCAAATGCATAATTTGCTTTATTTCTTGAGTGTACACACAGGGGGCGTAAAAATATTCACCCATCCAAAAGTAAATTTCTTTTTATTAAAATAATT